TTCCAGTCAGAGAAGCTTTATGGAAACAGAGAAGGCCAAATAGGTATTTAATGCACTTGTGTGTTCCTCTGTTGTTTAACAGTGCAGGTAGATCTGTGTGTAAAATCTGTTGTATGTGTTTACTTGTAGTTCCACCGAATTTATCAATCTACCGAACCTATCGAATTTAACGAAATAATCTAACAAGATAAGTAATCGAATCTATCGAAATATACAGAACGAATCTATCGAGATAAGCTATCGAATCAAACCACTGTAAGACGAATTAAACCACTGTAATATGAAAGAAATAAGCTACTGTAAGATAAACGAAACAAGCCATTGTAAGCAGTTATATGAAGAAGATTGAAGTTATTAAAGAAGTTAACTAAAGTATTCGGTGTGCTCTTTAAACCTACTGCATCCATAGAGCGGCATTGAAGGAATTACAGAGTAAAGTCAGTCTAATTAAACAAAGAAACAGCAATTGCATAATTTTTCTAATGCCACAGCGCACAAGGCACCAAAGGGTGCTGCGCCTGCCACAGTGGAACTATTACCCTCAGAGGTCAAGCAACAGCGCTCCTCAACTTGCACAGTAAAGAGTACACTAGAGAAACAGAGCGCCAGCATATACCGCCACATGGAGACACCTCAGCGGAGCAACAGTACAGGCCATAGCACGTGCACATTAGTCAGACTGCAGACGACTCTTAAAGTGGCATAACGGCAAAGGCAAGACAGTCAGAGAAAGAGCGCCAAACCTCCTGCACCCCTAGAGAGAGAAAGAGATGCATGGGGGGAGGGCCAGAGCCCAGAGCTAGAGTGCCCGCACCGCTATCCATCAAGAGACCACGTGTTGCATCCAGAGAGTTCACGATACTAGTCGCAAGTCACCGCAGAGCATTGCAAAGTCACCGCAGAGCATCGCAAAGTCACCGCAAGGCATCGCAAGTCACCGCAGAGCATCGCAAGTCACCGCATCAAGAAAAGTCTCCTTTAAGACTGACGTTTGTTTCTGCAACCTTCAGATCACGGTATCCTGCTTTTCAATTAAGGTCAGAGCTTTCCTTTATTACTCACTTATGCACATAGGTTTCTGCAAGAGACATTTTTGTGCTCAAGAGAATACAGACTTTTAATAAAAGAGAGACAGTTATAGTATATGACTCTGAAGTATTTAAAGTGAAAGTTATTTTTTTGTCTGTGTTTAGGTGCTATTACATGTAAAGTGAAAGTCATTTATTCTTGCATTTGTTAGTATTGCATTTAAAGTGACAGGTCCTTATTATTCATATTAATTGTTATAGCATTCAGAAATGGCTGAGCCTAGCATTGCCACCCCACTGTTAGCGGATGCAATGATAGATATGGTAGAAGGTGAAGAGCAAGAGAACCCGTCTGAATCTGAAAGGTGCAATGAAACGGTAGTCTCGCCCCAAACAAATATAGCTGAAACAGGTGAACTAAGACGTTCATCACGGGACAGAAAACTGACCCAAAAGGGGCTAGAAAATTTGGAGCAAGAGGCAGCACTGAAAGGAAAAAAGTTTGCCCGAATGTATGAGAGGTGGAAAGTATACACCATAGACATTCGCAGAAAGCTAAAACAAGAAAGCATAAAGGAGAATTTGAGTGAAATGATAGAGACAGTAGAAGATTCTGAGTCAGAGCTTATGACAGCATATGTCAACTTGCGTTCATCCTTGACACCTTCCCAGGATACTGTAAGAAACATGGATACATGTACCGCAGTCACTAGGGATTTAGTGATGCTTATGAGAGAACTATCATCTGCAGCAAATTATGATGAAGTCAAGGCATGAAAGGGAATGAACGAGCTCTTCATGAAACACTATGCTAGGTCCTTAGGAGGAACCACAATCTCAAGTGTGACTTCCATCACTAGCAGAAGTGCCAGCCACATAACAGAGTTCTCAAGTACGTCAGCCAAAAGAAAGGAATTAGCTGAACAACTCGCTGCCAAAAGAGCAGAAGATGAGATGGAATCTGCCATTGAGGTTCAGTGCCATAAAATGGAAGCTCAGCACCATAAAATGGAAGCTCAGCACCATAAAATGGAGCTCAGCGCCATAAAATGGAAGCTGAAATCAGCGCCATAAAATGGAAGCTGAAATGAAAAGTCTGGAAAGGCAGAAGGAAGTTAAGATTATAGAAGCCAGACTCAGAGTGCACGAAGAGGATACGAATCAGGGTAGTCATAGATCCAAATCAGTGCTAAGTGGAGAAGCTGACTCCTACATTCTTCCTTACGCCCAGGAAAATGGAAGGAAATCTCCAGCATGTAGTGAAGAAATAAGTCATAGTCCTTCCATCCCTGCTCAGAGAGAAAAGAAGAGAGACTCACCTGGTTCAGAACAAAGTGGAAAAAGAGAACCAGATAATTCAACTCCCATATGTCATGGCAGTGGTCATGAGGATGTTACAACTGTAGACCCGACGAAACCTCAGAGAATATTTCTCACTAGACTTCCTGTTCCGGAACCTACTGTATTCTCCGGAGATGTACTGAAGTTTATAGAAGTGGAAGGCAAGTTTTGAAATGATCATTGAACATCATTGCTCCGTCCAGTGGACAAGTTATTCTACCTCCAGCGGTATACTGGCGGAGAAGCAAAAAAGGTTCTTGAAGGTAACTTCTATAGGAAAGATGAAGAAGCCTACAAGCAAGCTTGGGAAAAATTAAATGCAAGATATGGTCATCCCTTCTTAGTGCAAAGAGCTTTCAGAGAGAAGTTGATAAACTGGCCTAAAATAGGTCCTAAAGAACACTTCAAGCTCCAAGAGTATGGCGACTTCCTGCAAGCATGCAGCAATGCTATCCCACATGTTCAAGGACTAGAAGTATTGAACGACTATCTAGAAAACCACAGGATGCTAGCCAAGCTACCAGAACAAGTGGCTTCTGGATGGAATCGCTATGTGACTGAACATATTTTTATATACTCCATTTTTTTTATCCATTTTTTCATTTTATATATCATAACCCCTTTCACTCATTTTATATATATCATATTATTATGTTTACTCATTCTCTTATATGTTTATCATCTATTCAGATTTTTAAACAGGTCTTGCACATATCTTATTTCTAACCCCTTTTTTTACCTTCTTATACTACATATTTATATAAATGTGTAGTCATTTGTTTGATTAATTCACCTATGTCATTTTACACTTCATTTAAATATTAGTGATTGTTTCATTCACTTTTGGCCTACAAAAAAATGGCGCCCGTTTATATGTTTTACTTCTGTAATTATAGGTTGCACATTTTTTTAAATTTTTGCGTTATATTTAATTATACAATCTAATTTTTATCCAGTGATATTCTAAGTTAAAATCCTGTATTGTTTATCCTTGTAATTTTTCCTGTTCTGAACTTCAGTGTTGTCTTTCAGCCCTCGGTCTCTTCATTAATGTTGCTGAGACATGCGGGGCTTCTCTAATATGGTGCCCGCGGCGGGCATGCGTGGAGTTATCTCTCTGCAGTCACTCTCGTGGTGCGTGTGCGCGCAGGGCTCCCGAAAAATGGTGCCGGCGATGAGCATGCGCAGTTCAATTCCCGTGTTGCGGTGCCCGCAGTGCGCATGCGCGCGTGGCTATATAGATAGTCAAACGTCAGGGACAGGGCTATCCTTTTGACAACGTGTTTTTACACGAAACGCGTCAGTATTAGTCTCGTCATACTGACGTTTTTTCCACCGAGGCTACACGTGGGCCCGGTGGCTATTTTTTGCATATATGAATAGGAAGCGCTATATGAAAATATAAATTAGTAAAAACCATAAAATAAAACAATTAAAATATACAATATGAGACGCTAAGGAGCGCCAAAATACCAATTGCGTGATTAACGTCCAGGCATGACCTATAAAGTGCTCACAGTGATGTGATAAACATTATTGATAAGTCCAATAGTAACAGCCTTAAGGTGAAGATCCGTGATTCCAGTGATAATAAATGGATTTATATTGCACTAACCAGAAAGCGCAATAACTTCAGTAATTCAGATCAACTCCTGGTCATCTGGATCTGGAAATGGGACTCTGGGGGTCATCTGGCAAACCTCAGCATAACAGGCAAACACACGCATACATATCCAGGCTCCAGGGATAGATCATCCAGCAAGGGGAATCACTCATGTGGGTACCAGTAGAATACCAGGGATACACATCTGGCAATGACTGAATCCAAGATGGCCGCCAGCCTTCCACGAGGAGCGTGCGGCTTGACATAACCAAGTAAAGGGCTTTTGATAACGGGCACGAAACGCGTTAGAGAGGGTGCCCCACTTGGTGACGCTATGCCGCACGCTCCTCGTGGAAGGCCGGCGGCCATCTTGGATTCAGTCATTGCCAGATGTGTACCAGGTCTACTCACTCATGTCATCAACATCCTAAGAAAGGCTTTGGAGGTCCAGCTCTTAATTGGAACCAAGCCCTCTCTTTCAATTCGAAGAAATATATTCTCATAATTTAAAGGGTAACTCCACTTTCGTGAAAAACAAAATCTAGCAAATAAAAAAAATAATATGGCATATATACAGTAATTGTTACACAAGCCATGTTGTATTTTAATGTTTCCTTTTCAATCTGCAGCCACTGACATTTCCTGTAAAATTCAATGCAATATGGCAACCTGGAGGCTGTTGAAAGACTGCTTGTGTGATTGGCTCACCACCAATTTTCCCAAAAGTCTGCACCTTGGGCATCCTCTGCAATAAAATTTTCAGCTTTGGTGAAATACTCCTTAAAGCGGAACTTCACTTTCTCAATCAACATGGACTATTTCTAATCCTTATGCTGCTAGCATTAGTAAATAGATAGGAAAAGTATATAATTAGATAGCGAATTATTCAAAAATTCGATTGTGATTCGCCGAATTTGCGGAATAAATTCGATTCGATGCGAAATTTATTCGCTGCGAATTTACTGTATTAAAACCTTTTTTAGGCTTCAGAGAGCCTTTATATTAGTGCAGAACACTGTACCTTTAATTTAAAATGCCCTTGGAGTCCTGGGGAAGAGGTTTACTGTCAGTCAGTATGACTTGCAGATGAGTGCCGTCGATCTTAGAATGCACACTTCATCATTTAGTCACGGGGCCAAAACCAGAGTGTGGAGCCACAGTGTGGCGGTGGAGGCAGCAGCAATGGGAGGCCATACAGCACCCTATGAAAAAATTACGAGGAGACCTAAAAGTGGCACATGGCAGAGTGTGGCGATGGAGACAGCAGCAATGGTAACGTACAGGGACCCAGTACACACTCTGGACCTGGCAGCAGCATGAGGAGGCGGTACATCTGACAGATTACGGGCCTGGCAGCAGCATACTTGAAGGCCATACAGAGGCCTATGTTAAAAAAGTCCCCCCAGCAGCAGTGTGGGGAGACGACTATCAAGAGTCCAATGGCAGAGTGGCGGAGCAGAAGCAGCTTCAATTGAAGAAGAAGAGGATGAGGATGAAGAAGAAGAAGATGAGGATGAAGAATAAGAAGAGGATGAAGAAGAAGAAGAGGATGAGGAAGAAGAAGAAGAAGAGGATGAGGATGAAGAAGAAGAAGAAGAAGAGGATGAGGATGATGAAGAAGAAGAAGATGAGGATGAAGAAGAAGAGGATGAAGAAGAAGAAGAAGAGGATGAGGAAGAAGAGGATGAGGATGAAGAAGAAGAAGAAGAAGAAGAGGATGAGGAAGAAGAAGAAAAGGATGAGGATGAAGAAGAAGAGAAGAGGATGAGGAAGAAGAAGAAGAAGAGGATGAGGATGAAGAAGAAGAAGATGAGGATGAAGAAGAAGAGGATGAAGAAGAAGAAGAAGAGGATGAGGATGATGAGGAAGAAGAAGAAGAAGAGGATGAGGATGAAGAAGAAGAAGAAGAGGATGAGGATGAAGAAGAAGAAGAAGAAGATGAGGATGAAGAAGAAGAAGAGGATTGAAGAAGAAGAGGACAAGGATGAGTAAGAAGAGATGAGGATGAAGAAGTTGAGGATGAAGAAGAAGAAGAATGAGGATATGAAGAAGAAGAGGATGAGGATGAATGAAGAAAGAGGATGAGGAAGAAGAAGAAGAGGATGAGGATGAAGAAGAAGAAGAAGAAGAAGAAGAGGATGAGGATTGAGGGATGAAGAAGAAGAAGAAGGAGAAGAAGAGGATGATGATGAAGAAGAAGAGGATGAGGATGAAGAAGAAGAGGATGAGGAAGAAGAAGAGGATGAGGATGAAGAAGAAGAGGATGAGGATGAAGAAGAAGAAGATGATGAGGCCTCCCAAGCGTGAAGAAGAAGATGAGATGAAGAAGAAGAAGAAGAAGAAGAGGATGAGGAAGAAGAAGAAGAAGAAGAAGAGGATGGAAGGATGAAGAAGAAGAAGAGGATGAGGATGAAGAAGAAGAAGAAGAAGAGGATGATGGTGAGGAAGAAGAAGAAGAAGAAGAAGAGGATGAGGATGATGATGAAGAAGAAGAAGAAAAGAGGAGGAGGATGATGAAGAAGAAGAAGAGGATGAGGATGAAGAAGAAGAGAATGAGGATGAAGAAGAGGATGAGGATGAAGAAGAAGAGGAAGAGGATGAAGAGAAGAGGATGAGAGAAGAAGAAGAAGAAGAGGATCCCCCCTGAAAATAAGAAGAATTCCATTCCAGCAAAAAGTGTATCTGCAGAGAGCTCCGCTATTTCTGACAGTTCTCTGACAGTTTCCTTCACATTTACAGCGGTTGAAACATTGTATCTATTTGTTTGAATAAAAACATCTGTATCCTAAATGGAAACAAATAGATACAATGTTTCAACCACTGTAAATGTGAAGGAACTGTCAGAGAACTGTCAGAAATAGCGGAGCTCTCTGCAGGGACACTTTTTGCCGGCTGTAGAAGGGATCCCAAAATCGGCCGATCGGGGAAAATTCGATTCGTGCATCCGAAGTTTGCTAATTTTGGATTCGGCGCGAATCGAATTTTTCCTAATATTCGAAACGAATTCCACTTCGCCAAGTTCGATTCGCTATATATAATATTTACTTGTTTTAACCTTTTTGTTTTTTTGTATTACTTCCTTTACTTCCTGGTTTCCATGTCTAGGCAAATGATGTCATACATCCCAGGAGTCTTCAGGAGAGGAGGGAGGGTTCTTAGCTCAGCTTAGCCAGAGCTAAGGGCAGATGGATTCCAGGAAGTAACTTCTACATGAATCATCTGCCCTTACTTAAGATTTCCACTGCTAGATATGCCAGGAGGTGCTCTCCACAAAATAAAGCATGGAGACATGGATGGATGGGCGAGTTTATTTTGAATATAAAAAATGAATTATATAGCATATTTGGGTTGTGGTGCTCAGATGTTATTCATATTTGGGGTGTTGCTAGGAATCTATTTGCAGCAAATCACACATCCAGTGCGTTTGGAACATGGAGCCAGTTAACCACTTGCCCTCCAGAGGAGAAATCCCCCCTTCCTGACCAAGCCATTTTTTGCATTACGGCGATGTTTTACTTTAACTGACAATTGCGCGGTCATCCAATGCTGCACTCAAATTTATGTCCTTTTTTCCCAAAAATAGAGCTTTCTTTTGGTGGTATTTGATTGCCTGTGCGGTTTTTATTTTTTGCGGTATGAAAAAGAAAAAAAAAAAAAAAAGACCGACACATTTGAGACACATTTTTTGCTATTAAACATGTCCAATAAAAAAATAAAAAACATCAAATTTCATCATAAATTTGGGCCAAAATGTATTTTGCTCCATGTCTTTGAAAAAAAAATCCCAATATGTGTAAATTAACTGGTATAGCGTTTACAAATGGCGGTAAATATACTGGGATTTTTTTTTTACTAGTAATGGTGGCAATCAATGACTTATAATAGGACTGCAGGACTGCGGCGGGCATTCTGACACTGGGGGGAACTGATTTGGTGTCACTGACATCCCCAGTGACACCAATACAGTGATCAGTGCTAATAAAAAACACTGACACTGTACTAATGGCACTGGGCAGGAAGGGGTTAACATGTGGGGCGATCAAAGGGTTAACTGTGTGCTGTTTTACTGTGTGTTGTGTTAGCGCTTTCAACTGTAAGCACACTTTGTATGGCTCTGCTATGCACAGCCATACAAAGAAGTGTGCAGGAGCCGACAGGGGAGAGATCTGTATTGTTTACATACAGTTCTCTCCCCCACGTCGGTAATGCTCAGTGATCACTGGGTGCTGGCAAGTAATAATTGGCCAGGACCTGGTAATTAGCAGCTGTGGCTTGCGCGCGCCTCCTACCCGGAAATGCAAAATCATGTGTATATGTATATATATATATTATATATATATATATATATATATATATATATATATATGTGTGTGTGTGTGTGTAGTGTGTGATTTTGTGCACCCTGCCGCCCTCCAGCAATATATCTGCTATAGGGCAGTTGGAAAGTGGTTAATCACTTCTAAAAGGATGAAGACACTGCAGTTTTTCTCATCAGAACATCAAGAGTGCGCCAGGTAATTATAACAAACCAGATCTTCCCATTCAGAATAAGTATCCAAAGGACATGATCAAACAATGCTATTTCTTCAGAGCAGAAAACAGGTAGGGATCTACTACAAAGTTTGTTAAAATCCCTGCCAGGGGCAGACTGACCATTTGGAAACTCGGGCACTGCCGAGGGCCCGGGGTAAGTAGGGGGCCCTATGAGATGCCCCTGGTACCTTTTTCATAGGCTTTTTTGAGTTTGGGCAAGGACACAGGGACCCCATGATCCCCCTATTGCCCGGGGGCCCCATGAGTTGTCAGTCCGCCCCTGATCCCTGCCCATGTACATTGATCACCCAGAGGGGATTTTTTTTTTCAAGCAAAAGTGAAAATACTCTTTAAATGTCTGACCTAAAGAAACATAAGAGCTTCTAATATCTTGTATTAAACTGACTGATGAGTACCATAACTCAGACATGCCTGGTCCTCTGCCATCACTGCATCTTCAGGAACACATTGAAATGCATCAGATGCCAGCGAGCTGTAATTTGATTGACACGTTGAATGCTCGGAGGGTTAATCCTATTGAGTTTGCACGTCTTTGCAAATGACGTTCAGTCAGCACTTTCGGCTTGCGCTGGAGTTAAACGTCATTGAAGAAGGCATTCATCCAGAACTGAACCGGATCTCACACGAGAGCAACTAGACTTCAGCGGCTTAATGCCGAGTCATCAGTTTGCAGAGCACAGAATTCATTTTCATTTATAAGCAAATGTACTAAGTTTACATTTCTCATGTGCCTCTGTTCAATGGATCAATGTGGGGCCCTGACCTCTCCTTCAAGCAAATTTTGCCTTAAAGAACACCTGTGGCCAGACTATGGACATTGAAGTATTTATGTATTCTTAAAGAGACCCTGTCACCAAGGATAAAAATGCAGTTCAAAGCATATAATAATTGAAGCTGGGCTCCAAGTATGGGCTTTTCTTGCATAGGTACATTGGTCCAACTTGGATCAGTGTACGTATACATATTCCATACCTGACCGATCACTGTGGAAGCAGAGGATCACTGTAGTAGCCAATGCTACTCCACTGTAGCAGCCCAACTCCACCCAAAATCAATTATTTCCCAACTCTCCCTCCCAGCCCCTCTAACCCACCCTGCCAGCTGATATAATGTCTTTACCTGTGCAGTCAATTATACTCACCTGAGTCTAGTTCGCTAACTGATGCTGATTCCAGCACGGCCGCTAATCCAGTACTGCATGCTAACCCTTGCTGGCTAGTCCCATTCATTCCCCTTTGCCGGTCCTCTTCTGGATCCTAAGAGGATCCCTCCACTGGCCAGCCAATGGGAATTGTGCACATCATGCAAGCAGTGGGTAAGGACTCCCAGAAGAAGAGCCCATCCAGAGAGTAAACAAAGAGAAAGACTCATGATCATGTGACTGTGGCTTACGTTAAATAAAGAGGGGTGTTTAGGTTTTCCTTACGATTTGCATGGCCAGTTGTCCCTTCCTTAAAAAATATATTTTGGCTGGAGTTGCACTTAAAAAAAATATTTGTTCTAACTCGCATACAAATTCAACTTAAGAACAAACCTACAGAACCTATCTTGTTCGTAAATCGGGAACTGCCTGTATATAGCAGTCTTCTGGAAAAACTTCAAAATGTTTCAAATCCACCCGGACCATCGAATATACGAAACAAATGCTGAAGCTATGAAACGAATGCTGAAAATGAATTTGGTCAATGTAACAAATACGATGAAACCAAATTCTGCTATAAACAAATGCACCCAAAACAAAACAAAAATGTCCCGTGTGCACATGTCTACTTGTCTAGGGGTGAAGGAATAAGAAGTAATACTTACTACTTCCTTCTCTCTCCTGTAGGCTCCCTCTGTCCATGTGACTGCCCTCCAAAGCTTCCTTTTAAGGCACTCCCAGCCGCAATCGCATGCCTGCCTCCTCCACATACAATACAAGGCTAAAAACCCTGCATTGTACGTGGTGATCCTGAAGGCCCTCCTGCAGACTGGAGTGGAGGAGATAAGAGAACAGATCCAGAGCCTTCCAGGGCAGGGTGTACGGTAAGTAATACAGCTTCTTCATCTCCCCGTAGACCTAACAAGTTCCCACTCTGTCTGGCTCCATGTCCAGGTGTTATTCAAGTATGGAAAGGGTCTGGGTGCCCTTGTACATCACAGGCGTGAAAACAGCATGCAGTGCCAACTTCCAGCTAATTGCTTTTCTGCTTCCTCACCTTGAACATACAGTTCAGTTCTGGGCACCAGTTCATAAAATACATTTCCTGGAACTAGAAAGAGAGCAGATAAGGGCAACTAAATTAATAAAGAGGCACAAAGTATCTCAGCTATTTGATAGGTCCAAAAAAATATAATTTAATCACCTTTGAGAAGAGGTGACTAAGTGGGGATATCATCTCTATATACATAAATGGCTCTTATAGAGAATTCATTTGGAAGCCATTCCCGAGAAAGAGAATCTGTCATGATTTGGCTTATGCAAGTATTGCAGTATTTAGTATTCATTTTTATAACCATTCTGGCTTATGAATAAAAGTACCGTTATATATACTTACCCTTTTTTTTTACCGTTACTTACATTATTTGAAGATTTCTCCTGGAGCTAGAAGTTTGAGGTCAGAGACCCCCCGGGACTCCTACAGGGCTGCCCTACCAGTTGCTTTAACTTAAAGTATAACTAAAGGCAAATTTTTCATTTTTGATATAGTTGAGAGGGATTAGAACACCCGTCAGGTTTTTATTGCTGTCTGTGCCCCCATTAGGGAGATTCACCCTCTCTATCTGTCCTGTTTACCATTATCAGCAAGAGTGAAAACTACAGTATATTTTGACTATAGAACAGAAAGTGAAGGGAAATCTCCCCAGTGGGGCACAGATGGCAGAAAAAACTGACAGGGGTAATAACCCTCCCTTACTCTATCCAAAATGAAAAAACGTTTTGCCTCTAGTTCTGCTTTACCCACGCTCACACTGGTTTTCAGCCCAGAGAACAGAGTTTTGTCATTTTTGGAGACAATGGGGTT